TTTTTTTTTTTTCTATTACCATATGATTGCATTTGAGAGACATCTGCTGACAAAAAAATGAAACTTTTTCTTTTAAAAGCGACATCCTTGCGGGATTAAACGACATTTGTGTGATTGACATTTACTCAATTAATTACAAATTTGTTCGTTTAAAAGATTTTAAAAATACTTATTTCATTTTTTTTTTTTTTTTGTGGGGGGATTGACACAAAATGTTTATGCCACAAACAAGAATGCAATAATTAAAAATTTGAATCTTTGCAAATGAAACATTCTTGTTTGTTAAGCAAAAAAGTAAATTACAAATGATTATTTCGAAACTTACTTCGTAACTGGCAGAAGGATAATTCAATTTGCAAAAACCATTCGATGAATACAAAAGCTGCCAAGCTCCAAAACAGTATGGCAAATAAGACATCAATGTATAATTTTGTTTTTTCTTGATTGTCGTATCCAGAAGATCAAACCAACAAAACCACTCCAAACCGGTAACAATAGAATTTTGATTCCCTGAAAATCTCGATTTTAAAAAATTCTCATAGACTCCATCGACTAATCGTTCATACTCTCCATATGATTGACATATTTGTACAATGTTATCCAATCTATCCCTGAAACATTCGAATAAATTTTATTAGTGAAATCTTTTTTTTTTATTACAAAAGAGTAAAAATAAAAATTACTAACATTCCCTCCTTGCTGTAGTGTACATTCGACACAGGTTTATTTTCAGAAAACAGGCTTAATGTTTTTGCAAATATACCAGATTTTTGAATCGGATTATAAAAAATTTCTTTCCAGATGTTAAAAACACTTTTTTGCACATCTTTCAATCCCAAAACCGATTTTAACACATCTGACGATTTAAATCTTTCACCCTTTTTATTTTTAAAAAAATGTAGAGTTGATATGCAAGATCTAATATCATTTTGTGCTTTATCGCATAGAAGGGAAATTGCTGTTAAATCAGTTTTTATTTCTTGCCTTTTACATATTTCCATCAATCTCTGTATTAATTTGGTCGATGATGTATTTGGAAAATGAATGACGAAAGCTTTCTGCCTCAAATTCCTCAGCGATGGTGTGTACAATTCATTACATATGCAAATCACAGGTCTTTTTACAGTTTTTTCATTTTTTTCCTTTTTACTATTATTATTATCTTTGGTTTTTTCTTTTTGCTTGCTACCAAGGTACTTTAATATAAAATCTACCGTTTGAGAAGGTGCTCCATCAATTTCATCGAATATGACACAATTTGGTTTTTTTTTCCCAGTCACAGTTTGCATTTGAGTAGCACTGTTTAATTTCGATGTTATCGCTTCAATACTTCTATCATCACTGGCATTAACTTCGATAACATTGTACCCAGCAATCACAGCTGCTATATGAGCTAATGTCGTTTTACCCAGACCAGGAGGACCACAAAGCAGTGCAATTTTATAATATGGTCTACCATCGGAATCAAATTTTTTATTTAAGTTAAATTTAAAATCATTTTCCTTTGTGTGGAATTTTATTTTTGGTTCTTTGTTGAAAACAACTTTGTCCCACATTTTCAACCAATTCAACAAAGTTCTGTTAACTGCTTCATCACTCAGAAGATCAAAATATGTTTTCGGTCTGAATTTTTCCACCCATAGATCAGAACTGTCGATTAACTTCTCTTCTTCATTTTCATTACCTTGACCATCATCTGTCCTGCTGTTCAGTAAACTTTCTGCATACGACTCTTCAATAATATTTCTTAAAACGGTGCATGGAACTTTTAATAAATTTTTTTTTCCTTTTTCAACATTGTATTGAGAAGAAGTGTCATTTCCACAATCATCAGATTCTTTTTTTAATTTAACATATAACCTATCACCATCACAAGTACTTATGGTAATAAATGGCCAATTGGGTACTCTAAAAGAAGTGACACCAAACTCATGAGGATTGCCATTCGATTCATTTTTTTTATTATCGATGGGAATATTAATTTTTTGCTTTTTAACTGGTTTTTCAACCACCTCCAAATCAGAATTTAATTCAATTAACGAATTGGACAATGATCTTTTCTTTGAATTTAAATGATTGACCCCATGATCATCATCCCTTTCGTTAACATCCAATTCCATGCAATCATATAGTTCATCGCCATTTTCGAAAAAGTTAAGTGAATTTTTTGACTTTTTTACCTCGGATGATTTATGTACCATATTCGTTTCCCTTTCCATTTCTTCCATTGCTTCCATTTCTTCCAGATGCATTATTTCATATTCTTCATCCGGATCTGGGAATTCATCCATTTTTTTAAACTAATAAATAAAATTCAAACAGACAAAAAATAAGAAAAAAAAGAGGAACAAACTCTGTACGAACTTTTTAATAGGGTTAAGAGAACAAAATGCGCGGGTAAATACATTGCGCATGCGCGTAAATAAAAAAAAAATTTGTACGTATATATACAACTTTTTAATACAACTTTATTATCAGGGGTCAAAAGTTCTTTCATTTTTTTTTTTTTTTTCTCGTTCATCTACTAATGATAATCGTTTTACTAACCACGTAAAAAAAATTTTTCATTTAATATAAATATGTCTTAGCAAACAAAAAAAAAAAATAATAATAATGATTTCGAATCTGTAAGATAAATAATATTATTTAATTAATTAATTAATTCGTATAAGTAAGCTAATGTCGTTAATAATCAATAATCAATAATCACGTAAGGTTCGGATCGAGAAAAAAATAAATAAGTAAAAATGGAATGGAATTTTACGAACGTGATAAAACACTCGACATTTTTTTTATTTTTCACACACTTAATAGGTAAGCAAAATTTATTAATTATTATTATTATTATTAAAAAATTTTATTAATTTTTAAAAATTATTTAATGGCGAGCTAATAAAATTTTATCGTTAGAATAAATAAATCCCCTAAAAATTTTACCATTATTATTTTGAATTTAGGTTCCCATTCCCACCCACCTTCCCCACCCCTCCCCCCGTCTAAAAAAAAAGGGATTAACGCTTAAATTTTTTTTTTTTTTTTTTTTTTTTTTTTTTTGTAAGCTAAAAACAGGATTGTAAAATTCAAAAAAAAAAAATTAATTGCAAAAATAAATTGTTATCAATCAAACAAACAAACAAACAAACAAGCAACAACAACAACAACAAAAATCTTTAGTCTTCATTTTGTTTAATCTTTAAGTCAATGTTACTGAATGGTTCAATTGAAAAAATAATAATAATAAAACAAAACTAAGCAATAAATTTTTTTTTTCTCGATTTATTTTATATACACGTGTCGATCGATATATCGTATCGAACAGAGAGAGAGAGAGAGAGAGAGAGAGAGATACGAGATTAAAGTACTTAAAACAAATACTACTTGCAAATACAAGCTAAAAACAAATTCCGACAAGAAAATCAAAAGTTTTAATTATTAAATTATTACGTGGGCCAGACTTGAACAATCAATAAAACAAACAAACAAATAAAACCGTTAGAACAAATCTTAAATACGCCACTGATTTACAATTACACGAAATTAATATAAAATGAACGTCAATTTGAAAAGAAAAAAAAAAAAAAAAAAAAAAACGAAGTAAATGTTAGTCGAAGAATGTTAGTCGGTTGTTCTTCATTAAACGTTTGTCGGAGGGATTCGTGTGTTGTTATAGAATGTTTGTTCGTTTGTGTTTGTTGTTGTTGTTTGTTCGGTCAAAAAGTTTAGTTTTCTAAATAACTTTTTGTTATTGTTGTAAGGGTATTCCCACGTGTAAAAAAAAAAAAATAAAAGTAAATAGTAAGATTTAAAGGGATTTGTTTGTTTCGTTTTTTACATGGATCCCGTCGTTGTATTTTTATAATTATGTTGTTGTTGTTGTTGTTTTTGTGCGAAAAAGGGATTTTATTTTCTAAAAAAAAATATAGAAATCCACACGAGGGAGGGAAAAAATGAAACCGAGGAAAATGAATCCGTTAATAAATTTGAATTTTTTCAACAACGCGTTATTCCTAACCATCGTTTCAACGTATTTATTTATATGTAACGCATTTATACTTTTTTCTCATTCGTCAGCTTCTTCCCATGGAAACGCACAATTATTCGATTTAAATTCCGGATATTTGTATCAACTCACAACGACAATTATTTTAAACGAATCTGAATTCGTCGTGGCAAAGGGAAAAGATGTCGGTTATCAAATACAATGTGATGTTATCGTGGGAGTACCGTGGCAAAATCCAAATGATAAAAATGAAAAATTATTCGAAATGAAGGTGAGTTTTTACTTTCATCCGACTTTCGACTACTACTCATTCTAACATCTTTTAAAAAATTCTATCATTATTATCATTATTTTTTCACTTGTGTTTCATACGAAAGAAAAAATTTGTTATTCAACCGTCATTGAAATAACGGTATTGTTACCTTAAAGCGGGCACTGACCGTACATTCAAGGACTTTCTTAAAGTCTTCGTTGTTTTAACCAATAATTTAAACCTCGATTTCGTTCGAGTACCTTGTTTTTTTTTTTTTTTTTACGGTTTGTCACAATGAACGCGAGGGTTGACAAAAATGATAATTTTTTCAATTTACTTACAATAAAAAAGCCAAGTTTTTAACCTTTTCCTCATCCTTTTTTCTTCTAATCCAGGTGAAAGAACCAAAACTTTTGGTACAATCCAAAAAGGAAAATGTTCATCATCGTGGTTTCGAAGTACACAAATCCAAATTGGACGAAATTGTAATTCATCCTTTTCTCGTACACTGGAAAAATGGAAAAATAAATGGCGTTTACATATACGAAAAAGAAAATTTATCTTTTGAAAATTTCAACAAAGGAATCGCGAGTCTTTTCCAAGTGAGTATATAAATTTAAAAAACCGGTACGGAAACGGTACATCATAATTTTTCAAATATTTTTCACATTACAAATCATTTTTAATATTTTTGGGCGTGTGTGTGTGAGTGTGTGTGCGTGCGCGTGCCTCCGTTTCCTTTTTAAAAAAAAATTATTATTATTATTGAACGACGTCACGATAAATAATTTAAATATTTTGAACTTTGTCTTATTATTTTATTAATCATTGTTTGTTATGATTGTTGTTAAAACAACAACAAACACCCTGATTATAATTTTTATTGTAAAATGTAGTTTCAGGTAACTGACACGGAAATCGAAGAAAGGGATGCGTCGGGAAATTGTTTGGTTTCTTACAAGACCATCGATTCCTTTTCTTTTAGTAAAACTAAAACGAATTGTCAAAGTTCGCATGGAAGGAACAAAAAGAAAAGTTTCGAACCTGTTTTAAATGCGAATGTAACTTCATCAAGAACTTATACGTATAAACTGTCGGAAAATATAAACGCCGTGGAATCCGTGACGAGTTTCGAACATCACAACGTCATCATGCCGATAAAAAAAGAAGCCGGAGGTTCCGTTTTGGCAACACAATATTTAGTTTTGAACGGTACGTTCGTCACTTCCTGTCATCATCACTCTAAAAAAAAAAAAAAAAAACAATAAAAATCATTAAAAATATCATGCAGGTAATCCGTTCAAGGTGGAGTCACTTAAAAGTTCAAATTTGGAAAATGCTTTGACTGAATATTCGACAGCAGGAAAATTTAAATTGGTAAAACAGGATTTGGAATTAAGGAGTCCTTCGACGAATTGCGACCAAGAGGATTGTCCTTCTTTACCCAAATTAATAAAAGAAAATCGGGAAAATTTATCGGAAAATAATTTGGGAACGTCAAAATCAGCATCAGCTTTTGTTAAACTCCTTTCGGCGGCACGAACGGCTTCGAAAGATGATTTGGCAAAAGCTTTTAAGGGTAGCAAAAATAAAGAAATACTGTGAGTTTTGAAAATTTTCGTTTGTGAAACCCGTTCGTTACCAAACTCATTTAATAAATTTTTACATTTTCCAGAACTCAGTTATGCGATTTGGCTGGAGCCGTACAAACGAAAGAATCTCACGAAATTATAATGAAATTGATCAAGTTGAATTCTTTCGAAGATTTCGATAAAATCGAACGTTATTTATGGTCTTTAGCCAACGGAATTCGCCCGGAAGAATCTGTTTTGAAAGGTAACCAACCCTTCTCCTGAACGATGATAATTTGTAAACCTTTAAAAACTTTTCTCTTTCTCACTGCAGACATTTTCAAAATGACAAAAATGAAACACGACAATGAAAAATTAGAAGAAACGTTAATTTTAACAACGGCAGCAATGGCGCACAGATTTTATAAATATTACCAAGACGAAAATCATCCTCTGGTGAAAGAGATAAGCGATTACGTATTGAACCAGTTGGAAAATTGTCAGGACGAATACTGTAAAGTTAAATATTTGAAAACTTTGAGAAATTTAAAATTGTCCAGATCGATTCCAGTTTGCGCGAGTCATGCTCTCAAGGGTAAAACCAAACCTGGCGTTGAAGGAATGAAATGTTTGAAATCATTCGAATCCTCTTTTTGGAACGATAACGTTTTAGACACGGCTCAAAGAATTTATTTTCAAGTCGGTAAAAAATACGATTCCAGCAGTAGAACATTAGCATTGGACATTCTTTTGGAATCGAATCCAAGTAGAGAAATATTAAAAGATTTGTTGCTTTCCCTCGCCGAACGTGATCGTGAATATGAAGTTAAACAATACTTGGTACAAAGAGTTAAAGAAATATCTGAAAGAAACGATGAATTTTTCAAATTAGTTAATTCGATTAAGAAAGAATTAGCAGACGTTCTTGGAAATTACAACGTCGCAGCACAAAGAGGATTGACAACGGCATTCTCCAGAAGTTTTTTAAACGACGAGTATAGAAATGGAAGTCTGTCGACCGTTTTAGAAATATCAAAAGGATTGTTAAAAAGAGGAATTGTTGATGTGGTCGTTGAAAATGGTGGAAAAAGCACAAGTCTTTTCTCAGTGAGTGTATTTCATCCACATGTCCGTTCACTTTTGATTCTTAACAGTGTAAATAATTTTGTTTGTATGGTTTCACAGCTTGGATTGTTTGCTGGAGGATTAAGTTCTTTTATTTCGTCGGATGGTGAAAGCGAAGAACAAGAAGAAAATGATGTCGCAACTGCAGGAATGGAACTGTCTGTATTAAATGCTCAAATCAGACCATTTGTTTTTTTTAGCGGACAAGGAGAACTCATGGGTCACGTGTGGTCTGGAACGGCATCAGAAAAAACTCCAGCATATCAAGTAAGAGCATCACTACTACTGGTACAAAATTAATCTGTTTGTTCATGTTACCATCAACGATGATTTTTCATTTCCTTTCAGGCCATTATTTTAGCAATTGATTATTTAGAAAACATTCCACTACAAAATGGCTTCCTATTGAACCTTGAAGTTTTAGGTTCGGTTTCTTTTGATCTCTCTGGACAAATAGAAATAAGTCTTTGGAATAAAAATGCTCATTCTTTAGTTGAAAAAGAGTAATTGAATTCATTTGCCACATTTTTTTTTGTGCTGTTGCTCTTTTCAATAGAATCTAATGAAACAATTTTAAAAAATTTACAGTGCTGGAATGTCACTACAAGGACAAATGAGAGTAAATTCTGATTTTGTTAAAACAAAACTTGAATTTAACGTAGAATCTGAAATGAAACTCAATTTACAATCAGATATTAATTTTTACGATGGGAATTCCTTATGCATGCAACTTTCTCAACCGGAAGTTACAGTAATGTAAGATTTAACAGAACAATTGAAATGTCAAGAAGTGTATAAGCATTACATTACATTATTTTTATTTCAGGCACAGTATTTACAAATACGAAAGAATCATTGGAGAAAACCATCGAGTGAAAAGAAAAAAACAATTTAAGAAAATCGTGCCAGGTCGATCGTTTGTATTGAACAAAAAAAATAACGACATGTGCAAAATTATTTTTAGCTAAATGAAATTTTTAACAAATGCCAAAGAGATTTAAATAAATAAAGTCAGTCCTCACGATTGCAAACGAGCAAATTAAATTAATTTAAAACGCACTGATTTAATATTAGTACAATTTAAAACCAAAATATAATTTATGTAATTTATTACCTAATATATATATATATATATTTTTTTGCACGAATTAATAGATTTTAAAAGTATATTAAATGCTCACTCACCTTACCATCGAATCTGTATGTTTTGTAATTTAACATAATTAATAAATCAGTAATAAAAAAAAAACAGTATAAACACTAAAAAATTTTAAAAAAAGAAAACGGAAAAAAAAATACGTACTTACTTTGATTGATTTGGCGTCATTCTTTGAACGAGTCGTGGCATCAGACAGTTCGTAACCGCCATTAAACCGCCGCGCTGCTCTTCTTCTTTTTTTTTTTTTTAATAAACGCTCCCAATGAAAATCATTTTTAACTGTTTCAATGATCACGATGTTATTGATATTCAAATATTCAAATGATTTTTTAAACATATTCACTCCTTCATCCATGTGATTAACCTGAAAACAGAAAAAAAAAAAAAACAAAATTAGTAAAAATAACCTCAAACATATGTAAAAAAAAAAAAAAAGTTTTATGAAATACAACCATTCAATTTCAATTTTGACAATAAAAATTAAGATGATGATAAATACACAATTAAAAACATATAATTATTTATCAAATTTTACATTGAATGAATGAAATTAATGATTTACATGATTAAAATCCTTTCATTTGCTTTAAAATTTAAAAAAAAAAAAAAAAAAAAACAGACACACTTACTCTTATTTAAACACACATTTGTGTATTAAGTCATGTTGTAATCAGTGTGAAATACATTTACTGCAAATTACCTAAAATTAATCATCATTTATTAACTTATTGTTTGTTTATTAAATAAAAAAAATTATTTATAATTCATAACTAAACCATCATCATAACCTATTTTAACTTGACTTTGTTTTGGGGAAAAAAATATGATAAGTAGGTGAAACAATTTAGATGTTAAGCTGTTAAGGGGAAAAACTATATTTTGTCCTTAAAGTACATTTGCAATCACAGATGAAACAAATTAGATACTTGGGTGATACCTATTACCTATAGATGATACTTATTAGATTATTAAATTCAACAAATTAGTTATTAAGTCAATGGAAAACTATATTTTGTCATTAAAGCTTGCAATCACAGATGAAACAAATTAGATACTTGGGTGATACCTATTACCTATAGATGATACTTATCAGATTATTAAATAAAACAAATTAGTTATTAAGTCAATGGAAAACTATATTCTGTCATTAAAGCTTGCAATCACAGATGAAACAAATTAGGTACTTGGGTGATACCTATTACCTATAGATGATACTCATTAGATTATTAAGTTAAAAAAATTAGTTATTAAGCCAAGGGAAAACTATATTTTATCATTAAAGTAAATTTGCAATGAGAGATGAAGAGAATTACATTACACAATTATGTACTTATGAAGAATTACAAAGATTCTGACATGAGAGAATTCTATGTCCGCCATTATTATCATTATTAATGAAAAATTAATTTATGTAAAATTAATTCATGTGAAATTAATTCATGTGAAATTAATTCATGTAAAATTAATAAATTTTACATTTATTATAAAGTTATAAGTAATTAAAATAATATAAATATAAACATACTAAAACCTTTTCATGGTGTGAATGTTAAAATAAATAACATGATTCCTTCCATTTGAAATAAAAAAATTTTCAGTATAATAATCGATAAATTGATTTTTCAGCCCCTTTCTTTGAAGATGACGTAATAAAAAACACGCCACCTGGCCACCAATGAGAATCCTTTAAAATTATGACGTCAACGCACCCGAAACATTTTTTGAAGTCCTACGTTATCATAATTTATACACGTAGAAAAAGGACTTGTTATAAAAAAAAAGGATGCGAGGGTAACTACAGCAGCGCCTTACGTCGTCCTTTTTCTGGAATTAAAAAAAATTTTTTATGTTAACCATTTTTTTTTTTTTTATTAAAATATTGGGGTTGTTCTTAATGAAATAATAAAAGTGTTTGTGCGTTGTTAAGTTACAATAAATAACAAGTTAAGTAAGCTTGATAAAATGATGCATACACCGCGAATAATAATAGACAAAAATTTATTATATTTCAAATAATAAATATGCCTAAAACCTCGGTCGTTATCATGTTTCAAAGATAAAAAAAAATTACAAAAATTAGACTTTGCACCGTTTTATTGTTGGTTGTTTTAAACGAATAAATTGTTTTCTCATTGTTATTAGTTTTAAATATATATATAAATCATTTGTTAACAATATTTTTAATTGTAATTATTCGTTAATTATTGAATCAGTTTAGAAAAAAAAAGAGTGATGGAAATAATTTCGTGTAACGGATATCATTTCGATTAATAATAATAATAATAATTTTTTTTACATTTTACATCAAACTACATAGAATGATTAATATGAGCAAATTGGATTTTGGAAAAATAAATTGGTCCGGAATCGGTGAGTAATGATTTTTTTTTTCCCTTACGTTTCATTTTAACAACGGTTTTTTTCCCCTCCATCTTGTAAAATGCAAAAAACGAAACGCGTTTTCGTATATTGAAATAACGTGAGATTAACAAAATGTTAATGTTAATAATAATAATAATAATATTCTACAGCGTACAAACACACGAAGTGTTGTAAAAAAAAAGGAGGAATCGTTTGTATGTTAAGGGGGTAAAATGTAAAAAAAAAAAAAAAAAAAAAAAAAAAAAAAATTAAACCGACAAAAAAAACGCCAATTTTTTTTAAGTTAGGCAATTTGCACTACATCCGTGTAATGAAAATTGCATAGGGTTAAAAAAAATCGAAACGAAAAAATTTTTTTTAAAAGCAACGAATTAGTGAGGGAAAAAAGCAGAAAATTTTTTTACATTTTTTTCAGTTAAACGATAAAATTGATCATTCATTGTTCCTGCTTCCGTTCGTTATTAGTTTTTTTTTTTTTTTTATTAATTTAAAAGGTCAGAGTTCAATTATTTATATGAAAATAATACTAGATTATTAAATATTAAGTGAAAATGACAAAAGAGAGAAGAGGGGGAAAAACATATTATCGATTTAATTTTTTTTTTTATGAAAACATTTTTTTCTTTTAAACTTTATTGCAAGAGTTAAATACGAAAAAGTAGGTCATATAATTTTTATTTTATTATTATTATTATTATTATTTTTTCAAAATCATGTTTTTACGCAAGATGGAGATGAGCCAAACAAAAGTTTTTTTTTTTTTTTTTTTTTTTGAATTTCTTGTGTGAGGAAAAAAAATAAAAGATACAATATTCGATTTTGCAGTAAAACGATATTTTCGAATTTTTTTTTTTTTTTCCAATCAATCAATCGATAAATAGAAATCGTTTATTAATTATTGGAAAGATAGAAAACATTTCATTCGATAGAAAAATCTAGAAAAAAAAAAAAAAAAAAAACAAAATGGTTTACATATTTATTTATTTATAATTTTTAAATAAACTTTTTTTTTAAAGGACTCTCGGCAGGACTCTCAATTAACCCATTAATGCCATTTTTTATTTTTCGATTTGCCAAATTTAAATAATATTTGGCGCCATTTTTCAAAAATGATAAAACCTTATCAATACGTACGAAAACATAAGAAAATATTTAGTATACCAAAAAAAATTTCCCCCACCCCCCTTTTTTTATTAATTTATTTATTTATTTTTTCCGTCGTAAATGTTTATTTATTTATTTTTTTTTTAAATAAATAAATAAATAGTACGAAAATAACTTTGACGTGTGCCATTTTTCGGCATATAAAACGATAAGCTTACAAAATAATAATAATAATAATTTTTTAAAGCGTTTCGAATTAGTAGACGGAATCGGGGGTTCCCCCCCTTTGCAAATAAGTTAAAAAAAAAAAATTCGAAATTTACGATTCGAAAATTGTTTCTTTTATGTATAAATATCATCATCATCATCATCATCATCATTATCATCGTAGATTTTAAACGGTTCAAAACGATAATTATTTATCCATAAAATAATAATAATAATTATTTTTGGTTATTGATGAAAACCAACAGAAAATTTATCCTCATCGTCCTGTCGTCGTTGTCGATTTAACACGATAATGATGATGATGATGATGATGATGATGATGATAAGAACAACAACGTTTGTTTTTCAACCCCCGCGAAAAAACGCGAAATGATGATAATGATGATGATGACCCAATGCCAATATATTTATATATTAAATATTATATAATTGTTTTTACACTCTCTCACTCGCTCGGGGGGGGGGGTCACGCGTGGGAGGTAAATTTTACACACTTGTCACTCACTCAAAAAAAAAATTTTTTTTTTTGGGGGGGGGGTTTAATAATTAAACCGTTTGACATAAAAAAATAATAATAATTACACTACCGTCGTTAATTGTAATTAACAAGGCGAAAGTTTTTGTGTCTGTTTGTTTTGTTTTTAAAATATATACGTGAGAGATGATGATGATGATGATGATTATGCGACACAACGTGACGACTTATATAAACAACAATCGTTTCATTGTTTGTTTACACTCGAGTAAATTATTATTATTATTATTAAAATATTTCGTTTGTATTTGGTGTAGTAGTCGTCGTCGTAGTTTAAGTATATATTATTATTATTATTATTATTATTATTATTATTATTATTATTATTATTATTATTTCGTTATTGATGATTTTTCGTTTGAAAAATGATGTTCGAAGGAGAAGGGGGGTAGGGGGTTTTATGGGTGCTTGTGTGCGTGAGTGCGCGTGAGTATATATGTATGTTGAAGCACTTGTCCGTGATGGCACACGAAACTTTTACTTTTATTTTTAATATATTCAAAAGCCTAAGAAAATGGAAGGAATTATCGTCCGCCATAACTCTTAGCTCTTGTGTATAT